TAGCTTCCTTGACGCCCTCCTGATGTCCCATTGGCGTTATTCAGATTCTTTCCTTTTCCTGTAGCTCCTTGAGCCATGCTCCAAAGCTCCAGCGCTGGATGGAGGCCATGAAGCAGGACCCTGCTGTCCAGGCTACGATGACTGACACGCAGACATTCAAAAACTTCCTCCAGCTCTATCTGAAGAACAGCCCGGAGGCGTGCGATTATGGGCTCTGAGGTGTCACTGGGCACGTGCCTGCTGAAGTGTCAGTGCTTCTTTTCAGTGTGTGCTCTGAGGATCTGGTGTAATGTGGTGCGGGCTCTTCTCTTTGCTAATGGGGGGATCAATCTGTGCTGAAAAGATTGAGATGGCTGTGAACTCTCCTCCTTCCTGCTCAGGAGAGAATGCGATGGCTTTAGGCAGGAGGCAGGACATCATTGCTGACCGTGGGTATTGATCGCATCAAGGAAAGTGGTGCCTTTACTTGGGGTGACCGTCTGTCATCTCTGGCCTCTCTGCAAGTGTTGCTGTCAGTCAGTCCCCAAACTGACCTACTACTGGCTTTAAAAATCGTAATACTGATGTCTTGAAAATAAAAGCAAAAGATGTTTTCTTTAAGCACGGTTATTTTTTTCTTCTTCATAGGCATCTCTTAGTCACTGGACTGGTTGCATGGAGGGGAGTGAGGCACTGTCAAAGATGATAATGTGGAAACAGCTTTGCACTTGGGCGCCTTTTGAAACTGTCTTAGGTTCTAATAGAGCAGAAAAAAGCACTTTGAGTGTGGAGACAAAATTATTTGAATAAAAACTAGTCAGAGGAAAGAAATCTTTCACTCTTCCCCCACCAACATAAGTGACTAAAAGAACTATGACCCACTCTGAGGTAGCTCAGCTGTCCGTGTCTTTCTCTAAAGGCCACTAACGACCCAATCTGGCCAGAATTCAAGGAAATACACATGCATTAAGAATGAGGCAGAGCAGTTCACTCAGGTTCAAGGACAGGGCTGCTGTTCCAGTGGTGCTGAGGCAGTTATGAGATGAATGGAACTGTTCCTTGCTATTTCTCTCATTGCAGTGAGGGAAGGTAGCACAGCAGAAGGTGGTGATTCACAGTTTTCATGGAAGCTGAGGCTCTTAAGTGCCTTGGAGCTTTTCTGGAGAAAAATAGAACTTTCCTCTGTTTCAGCATCTACTGCCCCAACACAGGAACTCTGAGGAGGTGCATGCTTGTGTAACTTTAACTTCAAGCAGGAATGAATGATGGATTTGGTAAATAAAATGAGTTAGCAGGAGTTCCTCTGATAAACATGCTTCCTACCAGCTTACAGATCCTGGCAATCTGTGAGCTTGCAGCTATTGGAGGGGATTGTTTATGCTCTTACTAGTTTTAATTCAAACTATGCAGGTTTTGCACTCGTGTTTGTGACTTTTAAACACATCTGGCACTACTTAGAGAAAAACTAATTACTCTGCTGTTTCCTTCCAGAATGCTGATGTTCTTTTAAAAGTTTCACAGTTCAGATCTGATGCTGCATATGTTTACTAGATTGTGATTAGAGAACCCAGAGGAATCTTACAGCTGCAAGGTGTCAGAACACAGATCTAGGCTGTTTCAGTACATGAAAGAAGGGTTTGAACTTGTGCCACAACCCTTGAAATGGTGTTAGCGGGATCTCAGCAGCAAAGTTCCGAGAATGACTAACTGTAAAGCATTTTGGTTTTATTAGTTGCTCTGGCTGTTAAAGCTGTTAGTAAAGTGGGCTGGAAATTGGCTTCCATAATCATGCTAGGAATACATTGCAGTTTGCTCCACTTTATTACTGGGAGGATAGTGGGAGATGTGACTTAAGGAAGATCCAGCAATGGGTTAAGAACAGAGACTGGCATCCAAAAATTCAAGTGGCAGAGTCCAGACCACAGTAACCAGGAGACTGTACTGTGTGAACAGAAAAGTTGTGCTCTCCCCATCTTTGTTTAGTGGCTCTAGAGTATACCATTATAAATATGCTGCTTCAGCAAGAAAGTGTAAAATGAAATATTCTGATGTATAATTTACTATTAAATATCAGTGCTCTAAATCCTCAGGCAGACAGCTGGGGTCCTGAACCCATTACAGCACACCAAGACAGACCTCAGGCAAAGTGTTTTTGATGTGGTAATGAATATGCAACACTTGGGCTCAGCCTTAAAAGGAAAGGAGAAGTTAATGTGAGGTGGACGGGCTCTCTCCCTTCCCTGTGGATGGGTGTAAAGGATACAACATATTAGTTCAAAGAGGCCAAGAAGAAAATGCATATTCTCAGTCCTGGTGAACAGAGGAAGAAGATGAAGTCAATAAACAAGGATCAAGCGGATTAGTAGCTCTGCTCTTTAATCAGATCTCCCCTTAAAATCTTCTGTGGATCAGACTGTATGGAATGGGATGTATGCGCTCACCTTCTGCTCCACAGTTTGTCTTTGAAGGTGGTTGTTGATGCTTTTCTTTTCCAAAACCATGATTTTTTTTGTCATTCCCTGTTGTTGTGCCACCAAATGTGTACAGCACTACTTTAAAAAAAAAAAAAAGCTCAGGACCAGGCAAAAAAGGACAGAAAAAGGAAGAGAAAAGTAAATCTCAACTTCTTGCCATGCTTCATGTGAGAGCTGTCTGTCATGATCATCAGGATTGCCTGGCTGTGTGTGAGGGCATGTGTTAAGCATCTGTTGGCACACTGGTATGTCTCCTGGGCCAGCTCTCCCCAGTTTTCCACTGTCGTGGCATCTGTAACATTCCTCTGTGGTGTTGAGATTTGAGAACTGGCTGTTTCTTACCCTCTCTCTCTCTCTCCTTTCTCTGTTAGTAGCCTGATTATTTCACCACCCTGTTCCTTGGACATTTGTTTCACTTGGGAAGGGTTGATGAAAATTCAGTCTCTTTGTGCTCATGAGAACAGGCGTCGCTTACTAAACTATCCCTAATTTCTGTAATATAGTGGAACCAGTCTCTTCTACTGCTGGTCTAAAGCTGACAGAGGCAGGTTGTTTTTTTTTTTATTTAGCTGAGTAAATCATTAATGCCATGTGATGTTGTTAGGATTTTTCCCTCCTAGAGCAAATTTTGCTGATTTGCCAAGATGATAAAATGCAACAGTGAGGTTCGGCTGTGTCTGGGGTGGAATGTGCACGTTGTTTAGCAGTGTGCAGTAATGCTCTATTTTGAGCCTAGGAGGGTGCTAAAATGCAGCTTGCAGTAAGGGGCTGATGTATGGAACCTTTTCTGTGCTGATCACGGCCATCTGAGCCCAGGACGTGGTCTGAGGCAGCACGTGCCACAGGTTTGTGCCTTAGAAGCATCAGTCTTGGCAAAGCTGGTGGAAAAAGCCATCTCTCCAGGGGAAGTGGAGCTGAGAAGGGGGCACCAAACAGCCTCAAGCTGCATAGGGAGGAGACAGTTTCCTGTAAACTGCAAGCTGTGTGCATGAGTCACCTACGTGGTCACGCAGCAAAGGCGTAGGACAGCTGGGAATAAAGGATTAAAAAGTTACCTACTTCAGACCACCTGAAGAACCAATGGAAACCAGCAGTGAGAGACTACGGCTTAACACTGTTCTTCATGCAGCTTTCTATGTTTCTCTTTTCCCAAAGGATGCCTTTGTGCCTTTTCTCCTGCCACTTCGTTATCAGAAGGCAGCTCTCAACAGGAACACGCGCTGGGCCAATCCCCAAGTTGGAGTGTGGCAGGTTTTTCCTCTACACTCATCACAGCCTTTTTCCATGTCTGTTTAAGCTTGGAAGTAGAGGTTATCTCCACTCACAATAGCTAAAGCAGGAAGATTAGTCAACCAGTTCTCCTTGTGGGAAGACAACTCAGATTTTATAACCCATGCCTTCAAACCCAGGAGGTGCCTCTCGGTTCCTTTTTATATGCTTTATGGACCTTGGCTGCGTTGTGCTCGTGTGTCCATGCTCTGGGTCAAATTTTTCACCTTAAGAGCTGTGTCAGGTGTGGCTCTGACAGGAGACAGCGTGGGTAGAAACCTGTGTGTGGACAAGCCTTGCTTTTCTCTAGCTTTGCCTACAGGAGCTTCATATCATGGAGGTGATAAAATAACCCACCCACAGCCCTGGAGGTGAGCCGAACCGTCAGTAGCACGGTGCTGACAGTGCAGAACCTCTGGCCATGGGAGCGCCTGTGTGGTGGCAGCCAGACAGAGCTGCTGTGCATCACTTACTGTGCATCACTTGTGCTCACAGGCACAAGAACCGTCCCAGGGCTGCCCTGTCCTGCCCGGCCCTGCCTGGTGCAAACTGGCAGGGAGGAGACCTGGAAGGTTTTAGCACGCAAAGTGCCATCCTGAGGACTGGGGAAATCCCTCTGTGCTGTCTGGTTCCTAGCACAGGACTAGGGAGTACTGAAGGGCAGGAGCAAGGTAATGGGTTTTGTGCCTTGATGGCTGTGGGGATGAGGCAGGCTGGTACTGGTTCTGCTTCACTCTGCCTGCTGGCCCATTGGGGTTTTAATCTTTATTCTGTGCACAATTTTTAAAACCAGTGTCAATTTGACATTTTCACAAGCTCCTAAATGCCTAAACAGCAAGGGCCGTATTTAAATGTTTCACCTCTGCATCTTCTACATTTCTGCCTCAGAGCAGACCACTAAAGCTGTGACACCCACTTTCAAGATAGAAATCGCTGATCATTTTTTCTTTGGCCACACTCTAGTTTCAGCAAGATTCATAGTTAGTTAGAAACTCGGTGCCTTAGTAAAGGCAGCACCTCTGCAAACTGACTGGTAAAGAGGATTCCTCTAGCTGAGCTGGAAATTCAGGAGCTTTTTGGTTCAACCAGTAAGGTCAGCGTCTACCACCAATATTCATGGCTTCCTCGTTCACATTACATCCTACTCTGGAACAACTTCTACTTGGGAGTCTTATCAGGCTTAATGTGCTAGGATTGCACAGGGCATATTCCAGCTCTATCCTTCTGCTGCCTCAGAAACCTTTCTTGGGAAGCTAGAAATAAAACAGACTACGCTTCTTTAGATTTTGTACAAGACTTTCTTTATTATAAATAAAGCTGCATGAGAAAATCTATACAAATTCAACAGTGTCCTGCTATAAAAGCAGCAGTTTGAGTACAGCATCATGAATCAAGGAAGAGCTTAGTTTGGAGGGTTTTGATGTTATTCCCCATTGCAGTTCACTGCCAAGGTAGCTCTTTGTATTACAGTTTTACTTCTGAACTAACACATTACCCCCCAGAAAAAAAAAAAAAATCCTAAAAAAAAAGACAGGTAATAAATAAAGCAATTTATGACATAAAATCCTATGAGAAGAACTAACCCCTCAGTGACCAGCAGCTAAGCTGTTAAAGGTGAATTCTTATTTCTTCACCACTGGGAAAATGTTGCAAAGGCTTGGCATTACAAAAGTACAGTGAATAAACACCAAATCCTGCTGCTAGGATGACAGATAAGGTTTGGTTTGTGGTTGGCACAAAGTGAGGAGTGAACTCCCAGCAGCTCCCCTTAGAAGACATTCAGCTCCTGAACAGCAATAATAACTTAGACCAAGGCATTTCCTAAAGGTGAATAGTTCCTGAGGCTATGTCGCAGATCAGTGGGTGTTATCACCACTGCTAATTCTGTTGCTTTGAGAAAACCTGTAATAAAGTATTAAAACCACAAGTTGAGGGTGGAGGGAGTGGCTGGAAAGCAGCAGAAGGCACTGGGAGTTCAGCTGGGTAATTCTGGTTAGCAAATAACAAGAGCAGCACCAAAAGGGGGCTGGGATGGGCAGTTTACCTTTCCTTAGGATCTCCCGTAGGCATTACCAGGGATGCGCATTTGTTACTCGTGTCAAGCTGCTTCTCATGGATGCCCAGCAAGGTGTCAATCAGGGCAGCACTAAACATGGGGGCACTGAGAAATCTTAGAAGGTTTTTAGCAGCAAACAGCTGATGAAGCTGTCTTGCCTTACAAACCTTTCTAACGAAATGTGAGCGTGGCCTTTTACTGAGAGGGGCAGTACCTGGTGGGCAGATTTATCACAGGAGAGACGAGCCAGGGAGAAAAGAGGAGAGAAAATGCCAGAGCATGATGTTCTTCACATGGCAGCTCTCAGCTGTCATGCTCCTAGCCTGAACGCACAGACCAAATCTTGTAAAAGGTGCTCAGGGTGAAAGGAGCACATGGCATTCATGTAGGCAAATTATGCCGAGCAATTTGCTTTCAGGGAAGGCAAATCCATAAATACCTTGGCTCAGCTCCGGCTTGGGTTCAGCTAAACCCCATGGGAACACGTTGGGGTGAGTCTGGGTTTAAAAGCAAATGTGCACACAAATAGAGAAAATGAAGAACAAAAGATTCGACGCACTTATCAGTGTAGGTTCCCTTTGAGCCTAAGCAGCAGTGCACTGAGGTGTGTAAAGACAAGTTTAGGCCTGTGTACATGACTGTAGGACTGGTGTTACGCAGCTTTGCTCTGCCATTTTAAGAGAGAAGTTAGATTATTCTGTTAAACAGCCTTTTCTTCTCATCCTCCCCCTGCTCGACCTTATAACAAAGTTATTTTTCAACCCTGTGTGTCATTTCCTGAGAGACGGGGGTCACAAATTTGTTTCTGTTCTTTGGACAGGCTAAATTTAGATGCCTGACAGGAAGCAGCAGAGAATTTTTCATTTCTCTCCGGTTGGGCTAGGAACACATTTAGAAGCAGCTCAGACCACAACTGCTCTGGTACGACCTGCCTGCAGGCAGCCCATGCAGACTGTCAACCTGAGCAGGAAGAAACAGCAAATTGCTTGGGTTTGCAAACAACTGCTGCAGCTTCCAACGTAGCCTCCAGTGTTCAGCCACCCTCCCTGCGCCTCTGCCTGTCACTACCTGTTCGTTGTGTCCCCTGCGAGTGCTCCTGCACTCTTTCCCACTAGGGAAGGCTTGCTTGGTTATGCTGATGAAAGCCAGGGGCTTACAGCTCGTTAGCGTTAGCAATTAGTCCTGTCCTGATGCTCTGCCAGCCCTGGCAGTCTCCCAGGCACAGATGAGCCAAGACTGTCCTAATGGCAGTAGCTACCAGCCTCTTCTCTCCCATTTTGATTCCTGCCCCTTGCTTTCTGCTCAGACTTATTACTTAAGCACCCCGCAGCTGCGATGGTAAAAGCCAAGGGGAAAGCAATTAGAGCAAAGAGCTCCCTGTCCCCACCACTGGGGAACCAGGAGTGGAAACGGTGCAGAAACTGTTCCTCAGTGGTGCGGGGACAGACGTGAGCAGACATCAAGGAGCTGGTGAAATGGTTCGTACAAGGAAAAGGCAGGAGAGGCCATGTCTTTGGGGAGTTTAGCAGCAGACTGGATAAGGAGCCGTGTGCCAGACCCTGTCCCTAGTAGTGATATGAGGTTCAATCTTCTGTCTGATGCATGGGATAGATGGGATTGACAAAAAGGAATGCCATCAGAAAAAAGATGGTTTGCTAGCTGCAGTTCCCAAGAGTAAACCCCATCAAAGCAGCAGTCTTCAGAAGGATCGAGGAAGCCCTGTAAGGAGTCAACCAGGTAGCTTTTACCTGGCATGGAAGGGATAAGAAGACACATGTAAGCAGCTGCAGAGATTGCACTGCCAATCTCTGCTGTGTGTGCACCTCCTGCATCCCTCCTCCTAACTTGGGGCCATCCTGCACTCATTAAAACCATGCTGGGAGAGCTGCACTCCCATTTGGAGGGTGATCGTTTACTCCTGGTACCAAACTCCTGAGATTGGGCTCATTACAGAGTAATTTAGAGGAGTTTCCTCTTTAATAAAAGCAAAACCTGCAGCAGTCGTTTCTCTCTTTGCTGGTTCTCAGACTTGCTGCCTGGAGATAAGGAAAGCAAACAAATAAACCAAAAAGCCAGAACCCAGTAACAGCATTTCTCTCTTATCTAATGTAAAAAAGGTTCCTGGTCGTTTATCTATCTGTGGAAAATGGCTAAGAATAAAACCCGGTAGCTGTGTTACCATGAAGAAAATGGAAGACATAAATGAAATGGTCTCAAGACACAGGTCCTGCTGCTTGCTCTGCTACATTCTCCCCACTGAGAAAACACATGTTGTGTCCAGGAGTGTTTCTGATAGACAGGATGAGCCGTTTAAAATAGTGCTGCAAGCCCTATCAAAATGCCTTTTCTAAAAACCACAGTTCCCCTTCAATTAAAGAGCAGTGCTGGATTTAGAGATTTCTGCGTGCAATCAGGATTGTGTGTGACCTCAGCAGTGATGCCTCCTTCTCCCACTGGCACTGAGTCTCACTTCCCATCGTCACAGAGCTCCTGCTGCCTGCAAGCAGACAGGCTCCTGCAGCCCCAGGATCCCGTCTTTGACTCCTCCACCCTTTTCTTATCTTCCCCTTCCAAAGGAAATTAAGTATTTGGCTGCCACCACCATTGCATTGTAGGCATCTGAATAAATTAATTACTCAGAGTTGTTTCTCATCACCACCGTAGTGTGACTGAGGCACAATATAAAAATACATCCTTAGCTGTGTAAAACCCAGCCAGCACACCAGTGGAGCAGAAACTTACTTTTCTACCGTGCCTTTCAGTTTCTCCCTATTCTCCCCCCATCCCTCCTCCCTTCCTGCAGACACCACGACCAGGACAGGCTCAGCTGCAGACAAGAAGCTGCGCTGGCAAGGCCGGTTGTCTCCAGGAGGCTTTGAAAAGCTGCCCTCTGGACTTGTGCATAGAGGACCAAGTGTTTTTCCTGCTGGCTTTGGTTAAATGGACTCCTTATGGATCCCATTGGTGTGTGCAAGGGGAATGTGCACCGTGTACTCGTTGATCAGTGCAGACGTGTTCCTGAGCATCTCGTGGAACGTGTCAACTGTCTTTCTGTAAACGTCCCTGTGCAGCACGAAGGGACGGAAGAGGTTGAGAGGCTCGGCTCTCTGGAATGTGATGGGGAAGCCCAGCTCTGCCGGTACCTTCCCGTTGCCAATGAAGAAGTGGTAGAGCTTCTTTTCGTGCAAACATTTCTCCAGGAATTTCAGCATGTCCTGGAGCCGGGCCTCCAGCTTCTCCGGGGCCCAGTCCTGACCAGGACGCGCCTGCAGCAGATGCAGCAGCACTGTCTTCAGGTGGTAGTTGGTGAGCCCGCTCGGGCCCGTGAGGCTGCACTGCTTCCCGTGCAGGAAGGAGAGGATCTGGAGGCAGCTGATGTGGCAGGCACCGGCCGGCAGCGTTTTGGAGATGAGCTGGATGAACCTCCTCTCGTACACCGCAAAGGTGAGGAACCAGCGAGTGCTGGAGGGGAGCTCTGCTGCCAGCTCGTTGCGAGGGAAATGGGAGATGAAGTAAACGTCTGAGTTCTCGTACTGCACCACAGGGGTGAGGTTGAAGGCGACTGATTTCCCTGACCTGAATTTTATCTTCAGGGCTCCCGGGGAGTCCAAGAGGCTAAAAGACAGGTCGAATTCATACTTGTGGGAGATTTTGTTCCAGGCCTTGGTGACTGCGATCTGGAACCACTTCATGACTTGGTCAGCATCAAGATACTGAGTATTCTTGAAGCACAGGAGGTCTTCCATCTCGCTGCTGGGCCTGGAGGTATTGCCTTGGCTGTGGAGAAGGCACAGCATATCTTCCCCTAGTTTAGTCTTGTCACAGATGCAACCCGTCACATCCTCATCTGCCCTGCATACCTTGATAGTGCCGTAACCTTGTTCATCGGGGGGAAAATTGTCCCCGGAGCACCAGATCTGGGAGCGGAAGCAATACGGCTCTGGGGGCGCGAAAGGCACTATCAGGTCACAGACAAAAGGTTTCCGCACCCTCCAGTTCTCGTACATGCTCCCCACACCCATGCAGTCCTCCACTTCCATGTCAGCGTCCCGGTTGCAAACGCTCCTCAAGGCCTCCAGCAGGTCGTCTGCAAAGCCCTCCACCATCTCCCGCATCCTGGCCATGTCGCCAGTGGTGCCCAGGATTCGCTTCTCGTAGAAGCTGGCCAAGGTGGCCTTGTCGGGGAAGGCCACCCCCTTAAATGCCTTCCCCAGGACAGCCATGTCATCCTCTTCTGCTCCTGTGTCCTGCCAGTTCCCCTCCTGGAAATCCTGCCTCCAGAGCTCGATCAGCAGGAAGATGACCATGGAAAGAGCCGTCCACATGTCCCACGGGACCTTTTCCTCTTTGATTTCCTCCACTACCTTTGCTGCCTTCTCCAGAGCCTGCTGTGCAGCTTCCTGGTCTGCGATTTCCTGCTCCAAGCGCAGCTTCTGCAGCCGAAGGCTCTCCTCCCGCTCCTTCATCTTCTGGATGATTTCTTCCGTGTTCTCGGGGACAGTGCCATTCTCTTTAGGGAAGAGGAACGGGTGGTTGATGATCGCTGTAATCACCACTAGGCACACTCGGAAGATTCCCACGGGCATGGCAGTTCCTTCCCTGAAAGAGAAAGAAAGGCAGTGACCCATGATTTGGAGCGTATTCCCTTAAGAAGAAAAAATAAAACAATTCCCACTTGAATAAAAGCTTTGGCATATTTTCTAACCCTGAAAAAGCTGCTTGAGTTCCTAAGCCAATGCCTGTTCCTACAAGTTACCAACTAAGCTTCCCAAGGAGACTTTATAAAACTTTATTGGTGGCTGGTGAGGATGGAGGGATCTTTCTCATTGAATAAGCTTTGAAGGACACAAGTGTGACAGCATTTGCTACCCTCATCCCACCGCAGCTCTGCGGGACAGCGAGGGAGGGCACATCCTTCTCCCCTCCTTTGAAGCTCACAGGACAGAAAGGAAGAGAAGCAGGAGGGACATTGCCAGACAAAAAAAGAGAAGGCTGGAGATGAGCACCACTTGCCCCAGCATAGGCTGGAGGTGCAGTAAGGCAGATGTGGCAGTGGCAGAGGCAGGGCTGTCCCAGCCGCAGCCAGCTTGGATCAGAGCAATGTGCAGTGCAGGCAGCCCCGATGGCACTTGGGTTCCTCCAGGGCTTGCACAAAAAAACTCACACGGTGCTCAGGACAATGCTGAGTGCCCCTCCCTGCGTAACATTCGCTAACAATCCTTTTTTTAGAGCCCATGCACAGATGCTCGCCCTTACCCACTGCTCTGGAGATGGTTTGCTGGCCTTTCTTGTCCCTTCTGCACTCACATTAACTCGCTAATTCATCGAGCAATGGATTAAAGCAGAATTAATGCCCAAAGCTGGGCATTGCAGTTATTCTGTGAGCTCTGTGCCTGGCCACACTTTAAAACTAACCTGGGCTCACTCCCCATTGCCAAGGGCTTTTATCAGCTTGCCGGGGCAGGGCAGGAAGCGCTGGTGATTTCCGCTGCTTCGTGCTGTGCTCCTTCAGGCTGCGGGCGCTTTCCAAGCTTCAAAATAACATGGCCAGAGGCCAGGGGTGTCCTGCTGCAGTCCTGACTGGGACAACATCGCTCCTGTGCCCTGCTGGGCCCTGAAAGAAGCCTTAGGACCTTCTTGTACCCTTCGAGAGTCTTCCATGCCCAGCTGTCCTGCTTCCAGAGGCTGCCTGCCCCAAGGCTCTGCCAGCAGACAGGGGCAGCCCAGAAATCCCACACCAGCACTGGCTCAGCTGAATTCATTCTCATTTGCACTGGCAGTCCAGGATATCCCCCCCCTGGTTTAGCAGGAGGAGGGTAGGGAGCATGTACGCCTCCTTTTCCCCCAGCCAGCTGCCATCGAGCTCTGGAAGAGGCTCAGGATGGAAACTGGAAGTGAAAACATCTCCAGGTAGCGTGGATTTGCAAGAGGCACGTCTGTTTTCAGCCTTAACAGAGGAAGCTCAGGTCAAAACTGCCCTTTCACTGCTGTAGCTATTCCCAGCAGAAGATGAATGCACACATGAAGCCCTGGAGGTCGGGGATGCTCAGTGGGCAAGGTCAGCTGCAAGGGTGGAAGGGGCAGAGCGTTCCCACATCTCGTCACAGCCAGCTTTCCTGGCCAACGTGGAAAGACCGAATAATACAGGTGAAACCAGTAGCACTGCCTGCTGGGGCGGTCCGTAACAAAGGCTGCTCTCTTCACTCGCTTTCAACTTCAGCCCAAGCCATTTAAGCCTGATAAAAATATTTATGCTTGTGCTGGCTGAGACAGCTTTGGTGTGGGGAGGAGGGAGGGAGCCCAAATGCTTCCCAGCTGGAGACTACCAAAAAGAAACACTATTGTTTCATCTACACATCATCACATTTAGTGACGTTTCAGTCTTAAAATATATATATATGTATGTATTCAGGAGGTTTTAAGCAGCGAATTCCCAAAGCAATCTTCAGCCTTTTCTGGCCCTGCCAGTTTGTTGTTTTTTGTTTTTGTTTTTGTTTTTTTTCCATTCAAAGCACGGACAATGCCCAGACGTGGCAATAAGCTTTCATCTCGCCCTGTTTTGAAGGCCCTCCTGCACTCCTGTGTGCAAGGTGGAGAGCGAAACAGCGCAGGCAGGAGGAATGCTGGGGTGAGCAGCACGTGGCCCTGCCAGCCCGATGAAGACGGCTGTGCCAAGCTTGGTGCCAGCTCACCGCCGAGCAGCAGTGGGTGCTGGCTGTTCAAACCTGCCTCCGCACCAGAGGAATTGGTTTCCTCCTGGGCTTTTCTGTGTCATTCACTGTTTCAGTGGCTGGGCACTTTGCAGATCTTATGGTTATGATGGCTCCGAACAGGCCTGAGAAGTGAGGGGGCAGGCACCGTCCCCGCTCCAGCTCAGGGAGATAAAAGCAGCTGATAGCCCTGTTGCCTGATGAGAAACAACCATCAGTGGCATCCTCCAGCAGGCTGTACATTCAAAGGCTTCCCCAGGAGCACCTGCAGCCCTCCATGCTCGGCTCCCAGGCAAGTTACACCCATCCTTTCAAGCCTGAAGCAGCCTCCCCTGAAACTGCAGCCTGCATGTGCCCTGAGCCCAATAACCCTCCATCTTCTCTGAGGACACAGGAGAATATTTCCCTTTCATTAATCGCCCTTCTCCCTCCCCAGGAGATTCTCATACCGCCCGATTTCTCCTCCTTCCCCCCCACCTCTTCTATTCTGAGCCATGGGAAGCAAAGCCCGCTCTGGCTGGTGTTCAGCAGTAACCCGGGCAGGAGCGAGCTGAAGCTCTGATTCTTAAATTAGAAAACCCAAGTGAAGGGACTGACTGTGGTCCAGTCGTGCACTGAAATACACCGAGACGTCATTAACGACACGCTTGATTACTTCCTGCGATTCGGCTGACACAAAAGGCGGCGCATAGGTGACTGCCCCAGTGTGCTTCACTTCGGTAGGCTGCAAGAAAAGCGGGGATTTGAAGAGATGATAGCAACTGCAGCTGGTTGGGAGCGTTTTTCATTGAAAGCTGCCAAGTTTTCAAAAGCAGAGCTTTCAGGGGAACAAATATAATGTTTGAGAAGGTCCCTGAGGTCTGTAAAGGACTCTGCAGCCTGTTGTACTAGACAGATGGATCGTCCAGAGCAGCCACTGACCTGCACTTGGGCTTTTTTGCTGGGAAGACACAAATCCCAAACTTAATTAGTGCACTTAATTACTCAACCTCACACCACTGACACTGCTGGTTTTCTATGATCTCCTCATCACTGTTCACAGAGCAATCAAAAGGCCTTTGCTGGCTCAGGGTGGAGAGTGAGGGTGGTTTTCCTTTGAGTTTATGTATAAAGCTTCAGAAATGGATGTGCTGGATAGATGCTCATGGAAAAAGACAAGGGTACTACTAGAGGGGGCAACACACTGCTGAAAGGATCAGTGTGGTGTCTGCCATTAGCTGCTGGACGTTTGCTCAAATTTTGCCTGTTTTACACTAAGAACAAGAAAAAAGATTTTAATTTTACATGCACACATTCAAGAACAGAGCACACATCTCTACCCTTGTAGTCTGATCATTTACTCGGGATGACAAAAACTTCTTTTGAAAGCTCTCCTCCGAATTCAGGAGGGGCTGGCAGTAATTGAAGTTTTGGTCTCCTTCCCAGCCCCTGAAGCTGCTGCCCTCATCACTTGGCTGCCTTCAGGTCAATACTCTGCTCGCCTGTTTGGACCTGGGCTTCCACAGGAATCAAGGAATTGGCATTGGAAAGACTTCAGTCAAACCTGTCTGGTTCTTGAGACTATTTTTACTAAAGAAGCACTTTCTGGGGTGGGCAGGGTCCGAGTACTATTTTGGTGAAGAATTTCAGCCCAGGATCCAGTGAGGTTTCCTCCCAGGGCCAGAACTGGGAGGCTGTGGGTTACCCGGTGTCACGGCAGGATGGATGCTGCCAGCAGAGAAGAAACTGCACCCAAGAGGAGAAACTGCACTGCGTCTCCAGACAGGAGTTTCCAGGTTCACCAGAGTCAGCCAGGTGGGGCTGCCAAGGTGCTGGACCCTGGGGGAGGCTGCAGGGCCCTTGTGGCTGGGGCAAACACACACAGCCCACGTACTGGGACAAGCCCCAGGGTGACAGAGGGTTTATTGCACCAGTCAGTCTGCTCTTCCCACCTGCAGCATACGTGTTAGCATGTATGACCACGTCTGGTTTCCACCCGGGGATGTCTCCTGGCACAGACAGCAAGAGCCCAGGGGCTCAGATGAGGATCCTCAGCTGGTTTCCACCGCCCAGACCCCACTGTTGCAATGAGAAAACATCCCCAGATGTGCTCAGAGTATCCTGCACTTCCTACTCAGGCCACGTGCCCGCTGGCCTTTGTTTTGCTGTCCGAGAACACGTCAGCCCTTCGCACCACCCGTGAACATCCCGTGCCAGTGGGGTCAGTCGCCCAGCCCCAGTCGGACATCCTGCCCAACAGTGGGCTTTCGGAAGCCGTACCTTCCTCCCGGGACAGCAGGTCAGCTATTTCCAAGGAAACGCTGATGCTCATCCTGTGTACGGGGCTGGGGAGCCCTCCCTTCCCACCGGCCGGTGGACTCGGCTGGACAAGCACCTGAGAGGCATCACTCTGGAAGCAGCCCAGCTCCCACAGGACCTGCATGTCGTGGGCTCCACACGAAGCTCCGCATGAGCACCGATCGTGCCAGCACCACTGCAAGCAGAGGAGTGCCCTGCCTGCTCTAGGGAGGATGGGGATTCGTTCTCATTTCTTCCACTCATTCACTGTCTTTGCCATCAGGAAGCCTTTCCTCACGCTTCATTAACTCTTGATGCAGTTTGAGCCCCTAGCTTTCCAGTGAGCATTGTGAGTAAAAGCAGGACAGGCTGTTTCTTTTCATTTTGCAGGACTTAAAATATTTAGAGGCTCTCCCCTGCCCTCCTGCTTCATCTTTCTCTGCCCACGGATCTGTTTGTGAGATGTTGCCATAATATCCCATGGCTCCTCTTCCTCCGTCCCCAAAACCTGGATAGGACAAAGAGCTCCCTTTCTGGCGCATACGGAGGTATTTACCATCTAGTGCTCTTTCCCAAAACCTACACAGATACAGGACTTGTTAGATTTTCAGT